GAAAGGCATACTACTTAAGTAGCCAGTTTTTACAATTGATACTTTTTGCTGGTAGCCAGAACGAAGCTCGTTAAAAAGCCCGCATCCTATCGTGACGGAATAAACTCCAGAATAGACTACACGATAATCAGTATCACAACCTGAGTCATGGAATAAACTTCAGAATGGACTGCACGATAATCAGTATCACAACCTGAGTCAATACCGATTAGCGAAAGAGTATCAATCATTCGCCTATGTCGAATGTTGCGTGATCTGCGGCGTCTTCTGTATATGCTATTGGGGTTAATATAGGAATTATTCAAAGCTTGCATTACTCAAAAACGATCACGAAACCCTACGCTGATATCGAGGATTACTGACATCAATATGAATCTATCAGTAAAAGCCATTGGTAGGAAATAAAAGGTTAGCGACATGACATGGAAAATTGTTTAGAGCTAAGGAAGTAATATATTTACCAGTTGAATGTTAAACTAAACACATTCGCAAATCGCTCCATTTCGTTTTGAGTGTTACACTGATCGAAGAATAATTTATCTGGTTATGGTCATTGTCTTGCTGTATTTATCTGGACAACATCAACACCTTTGGGGAAGGTTCTGCTGTGGGACCTCTTATTCGTAAATTATTTACTATTTTCCTGCTTTAAATGAAAATTGATATGATTTTAAGTGTTCTTATTGTATTATATGATATTTACATTTCAGCCCATGAACTTTAATATTTAGCTTATCCCGTTACGATCATGTATGTTTTTTTAACTTGTTGCTATTTGTATGAAAAGTACTGCAAGTATAGGAGGGTGAGGAATATTTACCTAGCCCCTGAACAGTAGCAGGGAATGGTACTCAACCGCTGTAGTTTCGGTAAAGTGTCGTCAGGTATAGAGTGAAGGTTATTTTAAGAGTTAGCACAACAGGCTTGGCAACCCTCCTCGAAGTTAGCAAAAGAGCACCTGTTTTGTGCGTGGGAACGGTTGTATTCCCATATCCTATTGGTTAGTCTATACAAGCAATCTCGAATAAGAGGATGATTGCAGAAAATTGCCACCATGCTTTAAAATAATACATACCGAAGCTCATCAGGCTGACCTTAGACAATTTCTTCTTCGGAACCTACGCACGGAAATGTGGCAATCAAACTGTGAGTGCCTAGGACGCCTCCAGCACACTCTCACTTTCCCAGTTTGCACACAAGATAATTAAAGCAACCTGGGCGACCGTAAGGTGTGCGTTGTCATGACGACGTAGATAAACACGTGATTAAAAGTGCGTCATGCATACTCGAATTAGGGTATGAGGGAGCAACTTTGCATCCTAAATAGGTAAATACAGATAATCTTTACAAAAAATGACCTTTCCAAAGTGCGTACTTTTTTAACCTAGAACAGCCCGTTAAAAATAAATGTTTTAATGCAGAGATTGAATGTAAAAGTATACAAACATTTATCAGCCTATTAAAAGTTCATACGCTAAGGCTCAGGCGAACGCCCCCTTTGTGCAGGATGTGATTCTCTATGTAGAGTTAAGCATCAATTCTTATTAATTGCCGAAGGGCAAATGTGTCTTCGATGAAAAAATGTAAAGTATCTGAAGGCTTGAAACGTTTTCTTTCAAAATATACCTCCAAGAGAATTGTAAGAATTGTTAAAACTGGGCTCCGTGATACAAGGCCTATTTTACTTACGATATCTCGGATCTTGTCCATAAGAGCGCGTATGCTGATCTTGGATCCGTCTTTCTGTAAAATAAAAAAATAGGTCCAGCACTATTATATGCGAAGCAAAGAGAAACGTTGAACGATTTTCAGATCTGCAACCAGCAAAAGAAGCGATTTATCAAAGAGGGAGAGTCTTTTCATTTATGTATCGATGCAGATTATAATTTGAAAGTCTAGGGCGTTATCATTCACGTTTAGCGAAAAGTAGAAGAAATCTTCAATAAACTGCTCATTTTCAATAAGTTTTAATCAAGCTAATAAAAGCGTAAACTGACAAATCTTAAGTATGCAAGAAGCACTCTTCACTGATAACGGAGCAAATTCGCATTGCTCGATCCCTTTGAAAAAAGATGAGAAAATAAGCAGGCCTGACAATATAAAGATGACCTAAAGAACTTTTTGAGTTATGTTAAGGAGAGACCGATCGAAAAGGGAATTCGTGTGGACAATTTATCGAAACTCTCGGGCACCCTGTCCATTGCTGGGTCGTCTCGGAGTCTTTCTAAGACTAAAATTAAGTGAAAACAGAAATAGCGGCCCCTCTTGCTACCTAGGCAAACCATTTAAAACTATGACTGCCGCGACTCACTACTGGTCCGCTACACGTTTCTTCAGATCGTAAACAGTGATGTTTAACTTTTCCAACTTTCTCTGGTGTCGTTATCGCCCGTTAACAATTCCAAACACTTACATTTAATCTTCCAATGAGTTAACGTCGTCGCATGCTTTAAATGCACCCATTTCCACTAGTCACTAAGCTTATGTAAAATTTGTTAAAGGAATTTCCGCCAAGAGACACCCTGTGAGGTTGCCTTGTCATGGGCAAAACGTAGATTAGCTGCCAACTACGAAAAAGAAAAAAACATACCTTGTTTTCAAATTCGTGATATGCTTCGTCAAACTTATAGGCAGATTTTGACCTGTGTCCTTCGCCGAAGGCATGCAGAAAATCGGTGTATTGAACGCTGCAATTTAAATGTAAAATTCTTTGTATGCCATTTTTGCCTTCATATTTTCAGAATTTTATGTTATATGAAAAACATTTGAGAACACCACCAGAAAGAAATGGTACTAAGCCAGTCAATCGGGACTCCACAACAAGGCGAAATTGGCCTTATTAAATTCTCAAATTAGAGCATATCTTTTCGTTAGCGTTTCTGTTTGCAGCCTTCGGGACGGGGGAATCCTGTTCAACAACGGAATTTGTTACTAAATTCTTCATTACCAATTAGACCGACCATGAACTCTTGATCATTTTTTGCTCTACGACTATCAAGTATGAACAATAATTTCAAAACTGCCTATCCGTGTAAATGCAGATAGAATGTTTGCCCTAATGCCGTGCATTTTCTGATATTTTGTGCGGGATGCAGAGCAAATGCGCCATGATTGCAGCAAAACTGTAGTGACCCCATTCCGCGCGGACGCGCACTTGATTGCAGTCTCGGATGGCCTCTGGGACAGCCAATCACAGGTACCAAAAACCCCGCGTGAACGCTTGTCGCGCACGGCGGCCACTAACACGCGCGCGTTCGAAGGATGACTCCAATCCATCTGACCAATCACCTTTCACGACTGAGTCAAATAAAGGCTGTTTTGTGGATATTGAGACGACTGCCAGGCTCGAACATTTCGAATTCTATCCCGCTCGGGTGCAGTCCTATTCTCATCTGATAGTTAACTTTCTACAACCTAGTCCCCACTTCTTCTGTAAAGAATAATCTATTCCTACCATCTGGCGCTCACTTATTTTCATGCCCTCAATGAACCGACCTGCAGATGTAGTGGCAAGGGTTCGACTAATAAACGTAAGCCTTTGCGACAAAACTGTCAGGAATAGTGCGTAAAAAGGTGTTTAATATCTTTTGGACAGCAACGAAGTAGGACTTTGTCTAAAAACGGGTCACTTAGTGCGTTGGTGGTTAAACTAACAGTCAAATTTGTCCACCTGAAACAGGACGTATAAGCAACATTTACGTATCTATTGATATTCATCGTCAGGAATATGCTTTCACGATACTGAAGGTCCTATCAACTAAAGACGAGAGCACTGCTGGGTAACTGACTTCCAAGAATGCCCTTTTGTAGACAAACGTATGGTCTTTTCTCAATATAAAAAAAATTTTCCATTGACAAGACGTATCCTCTACTGTCTAAAGTTAAAATACTGCACCCCATCCGTATAAATTAATTCCTCTGATATATAATCTTTATTAATTACGGCTGCACACGTAGGCACTTACTATCCGTTCTTCTTCTTGTCAAATCCAAGAGCAAGGTCCTCCAGTTCTTCTTCATTCAGAGGGAAATTGAAGGTTCTCCCGAGTTGCTAGAAGAGAAAATGTGTCAATAATCTACTTAATTATCATATAGATGACATAATTTTCATTTTTTGTTTTAAATAAATAACTAAACGCAGATGCTGAATTGTGACTGGCATTTCCGGTTGCATGCTTTATTTTCGAATAATCAAATTATAATTAAGTTTTATAAGTTGAAGAATGATACAACACTCAGGGGTTAAAGAAGTCAGTTATTAAAGTTACCGGAAGATGATAGATTCGCATTGTGATCGTTATCGAAGTAACCGAAATTTTCAAATGAAAGGCTATAAATGTTAATCAATATCAATTATCCTGTCGCGTGCTTCATACGAAAACGAATTTTCGCATTATTTAGCACCAGCGGCTGGACTCGACAACCAATTACCTATTTCAGTTATTCTCTCAAAACGGTTATCCAAGAGAATTTTTACGTCGCTGAGTGAGACAACAATCGTCAAAAAAGATTCAGGCATAAGCAGTCAGACGTCATATTCTTGGCGTAGCCTTCCTTACATCAAAAACGTGTCTCAACTTGTTGGCAGACATTTAAGGAAGCATTATATCCGGGTGGCCCATAAACCAACAGCGACATTACGCGCCCAATTGGTACATCCTAAGGATAGGGTGAGCTATTTAGACAGGAAAAAATTTGTCTATAAAATCCCATGTGGATCATGTGATGTCGTTTATTCTGGCCAGACCGGAAGACTCGCCTCTGTGCGCATTCATGAACAACAATTGGCGGTAAACAGACTAGACCGCCACTCCGAAGTCGCCATGCCCAGCCTAGACACCGAGCATAAGCTCGCATGGGACAAAACTCGTATTGTCGCTACCTGTCCTTCCAAGGAAGGACGTGAATTCCTCGAAGCGATGCATTCGGACACATCACGCATCAACAGGCATGTCGAGTTGGACCTTTCGTACAAAAATCTCACACAGAAATGGGCGAGACGCGAACCGATCCGAACAGAGGGAGACACACTGCAGCAGCCTACCGGCACATTAAGTCACAGACGAGACCAATGACCTGATCTGACCCCATTAGCGTCAGCCGCAACTGCATGCTGCAAACTCACACCCTCCACCCCCCTGCCCGCATGACTGACTATTCATCTCCTTGACAACACACACCGCGATGCTAGCTGTTTTGACACTTACTTTTCTCTAGGTCTAATGATGATCTGGGGTTCCAGACTCCAAAATTCACGAAAAAAAAATTCTATTTCCCGAAGAACGTATTCAACCTCAAAAACCAATACTTCAGGCGTAGGTGGAGGGATAGACATTGCGAGGAATGTCCACATTCCTGCGAATGCT